AGTTTACTTCATACAGTAAAATGAAAAAATGCGCCAACCCATAATTCGCATATGAAATTAACTCAAACCGAATGGTACTTTCTCTACAAAATACTCACGGTCAGCACAAAGTACAAAGTTAGCCACTTTGTTTGATTACTTACCTGCTCTAATTAACAGCACGTTCCGCCGGAATAAGCATTCTGTCCATATTTTCCTTTTTTTTTTAATAGTTATGCTAACAACCCACATTAATCATTTCACAAACCTTGATTCTTTTACAGATGTTGTTGGCCCCTAAATTTCTTGACCATCTTCTTCGTTTATACTTTGGGAGCAAAAGAATCACAAAGGCTGCTTATTACAGGTTCTTCCCATGCAAAACACGGAACGAACCACAAACCGCATCAATAACATATGCGCAAATTAACACATAAAGATGGTGGATGAAAACTGACAGAGATCTTACCATAATGCCCGTATAAACATACATAAACTCGTTTCTTCTCATGGAACAATCTGAATTCAATTAAACAATTCAAACGATCTAAATTCATAGAAAATTTTCCGAATCACGTAGCGACTTCATGTTTAACCAACAACTTCAACCACCAGTTACATTTTGATCTTTACACTCAGAACTCCAACAAATAAAGCGAAATAATTAACCAAGTTTTTGAAACAGAAAACAAATTCCAATAGCAAAAACATCGAAAAATATCTTGTAACAAACAAACTGAAAAATGTTTCATTGGAAAATTTTTATCTCTGATTTAAACCAATTGGCTACGGACCTTCATATTTCGGGGGTGGAGGGAGAAAGCATCATGCAACCACATCAATAATAATGAAACGGACAATCTCTAATAAACAAACATGAAAGTGAAACCACTCATCCACAACGGGAGACCAAAATCTTCATCCAAAACCATTTTTTTCTTCACTAAATTCAGTAATGAATTGAAAAAGCAGATTTTTTATTAGTTCATGAATAATACTCATTGGTAATTTGAATTTATTGTGTTTTTTTTTTTTCATAAAGACAGGTATCAAACTAACATGAAAAGAATCCAGCAGAGAAAAGATTACCCGTGAAAAAAACAAAACAATTGATATATAACACTTACAAAGAATCGGCCGGAGATGACTACTGAATCTTCCCTATCGAACCAGTTGAACACCATCAGATAGGTTATGCTAACCCCATACAAATTATTTAAATAGACCTGGTTATATACACAAAAAGAACATTTCAAAGTGAATTATTACACTTTCGAACTATATACACAAAAAAAAGAAAACTAAATCTTTTAAAGTTACCAATGTTGGCGTGTGAATGCGCTAAGAGCACAACTTTACCGATCTCTTCACTGGATTGTTCACATTCTCAAAAGGTAAGAGAAACAGTGGTCGACAATAAGGTTTGTTACTTCTGTTCAAGAACAGAAAAGCCCCAACTTCCGTTCACTAAAATTGACTCCTACGACCTGGATTTGCGAAAAGATTCTATCAGCCGTCATTATCATCATTGAATTTGGATCAGCCATAAATAAAAAAATAAACTAAAAATAAAATCACCTATGGCATCTGAAGGTTGATCGGAGCGGAACACAGCGATGGATTTGAAGGAAATTTCGTCGCTTCGGACGAAAGCAATAAAGCGAACAATAGGAAAGATAGGCGAAAACTTCTGGCCGGATTTGCAAAGGGATCCTGCCAGCCGTCAGTATCATTGATGAGAATCGTGTAGCCTTTCATGGTGATTCTCCTAGTGAGGGGAATGAACTAGTCCTTCATTCTAATTTTGGAATGCCAAGTTTACTTTGCAGGCCAACCAAGGAAGAAAGGATGGATCTTGACTACCTATGTGATAGGGAGTTGGTTCAAGAGAGCTATGATCAAGGTGATGAGAATGTCATTAACTTTGGGGTTCAAACCAAGGGAGATGATGACCTCATGGAAATAAGTGCTGAAGAGTATCAAAAGAGTTTGACTCTGTGTGCTCCATGAAGATCATTGATCAAGCTAGTGAGAAGAGTCATTTAGGTTCTTGAATGGACGGCCTATTTGATCAAAGTGTTCAAGATTGAGTCCATTGCTACACAATTGGATAGGTTGCAAACTATCTAAATTGTTTCAAGTGTTTTTCCAATCCTTTGGAGTAAATAAAGAGAATTCTACAAGTTTTGGAGTAAATTGGAGTTTTCTACAACTTAAGGGGCGCAAGACCAATATTCCACTTTTGGAAGGGCGTTCAAGATATTTTACTTCAATATTTGGGAGCTGATTTTCGAGATTTAGTTGTTGTCTAAGTCTAGGAGGTATTTTCAAAAATTTATCTAGTTAGATAAGCCATGTGGGCTGAATAAAACTAGAGTGTTTTGATTAGGAGTCTTAGATTCCTTCTAGATGCTATCCTACGAGAGGATAAGTCATTTAGATAAGGTTTCTTAGATTTTAAATAGAGTCAAAGAGATCAAATACTCTTCTACTTCTACTCCTTGTGAGATAAGATTAGAGAGTCCTAATTGATCTTCTTTTTATTGGTGCTGGCCGAAAAACTAAGCCTATAAATAGGGGGCATGGCCGAAAATCAAAAGCACCCTTGAGTGATCATTTTTGTTGTCTCTTTTGAGAGTTTTTACTGTGAGGAATTTTTGTTAAATGGAGTGTCCATTTTTTTCGTGTCAAGTATGATTTAACCAAGAGGGTTTTCATCTTGTCTTGGATCTTTTTGATCTTGCAGAAACCGTTGTTTTTCAAGTATGCTTCTTGATAGACTTGTTTTAAAACAAAACTTCTTATTTTCATACTACTTCTAGTAGTTCGATTGATGAGCCTTTCTTTTGGCTTGGTGTTTGAATTTCACGATGAGTGTGTTCATGAGTTCCATTGTGGGGTTTGTCCTACTTTTGTTGGATGAGTTGTGCTTTGGCATAAGCATTTTGAGATAGTGTATGTGTTGCATTTCTTTGATTGGTTATGAAGATTACTAATCAATAGTATTCCTTCATAGTTGAGCATTGTTTGCTCCTACCTTTCTTGAGTCTCTTGATTGATGACTGATCGAGTATATTGAATGGTGTCCTTGATTCTTAGCGTGGGTTGTTGTTTAATTCGAATCTTTCATGGATAATGTGTTCTTTGATTGGTTTGAATTAAGGGATAGAATCACTTAGATAAACAATCGTCTTATTGTGAATTTTCCGCACTCTTTTGAGTTTCACGGGATAGACAAAATTATCTTCGTACTTTCTTGTTGATGGTTGCATTAACGAAATTTACTTCATCTACGAGATTGCTATCAATCATCATCGAATTTGGAATCTTCACTCGATGCTTCTTGTGACGGGGATTTACCAAATTCAGACCATTACCACAAAACCCATCATGGTCTTTTTCTTCCTCGTAACCTCAACGTTCCGATTGTAAGCCCCGCCTTTACATCGCTGGATGGATTGGGTGGGTTAGAAGGCCTTTCTACTGGATTTGAAATTGGAATTAGGGATGGAAGGAGAAGTTTCAATACTTGATGTTAGGTTTGAAGTGGTTCATTGAGGAGATTTTTCTCACTTATTTTTGCTGAAATTAGGGACGCGTAATCGTGATTTGTTGACTTCCATTCCTAAATAACAATAAATTTTTACGACTATTTTAGGGGAACATAGTATCCAGCCGAATGGACTCAGTTTCTTCCCTAAATTGAGGGATTTTTAATTTTAAACTTTCAGTAGAATTTTTTGTTGTTGTTGTAACTGATCTCAGTACTAAAATTTCCTGCAAATATATGAAGCCACGTGTTTCATTTTCCTTGCTTCGGATTTGTACTATAAACGTCTGTAAACGTTTGGAAGAGAAAATTTTCATTCTGATGCTGACACATGTCTTAGTATTTGTTGCTTTAAGTAAGTACTATAGATAGATTATCAAAATATTTTTAATTATGTCATATTTAGTTTGTTTCTAACTCAAAATCGTGTTTATCTTTTCTTTCTTTTTTTTTTTATGAGAATGTTTAGATCATTTTAATCAAATTTACTGTTATGATCCTAAGTTATCTTTTTTTGCATAAATTCTTTTTAGAAGTGGAATATGTTTCTGAGACGAAAATAATGCGTAAGGATTTTATGAATAGAGTCGAGAAAGAGAAGGACCCGAATCAGCTGAATTGTAAAGAGGGAGAGAGATATGAGAGGAGAAAGAATACAAAAAGATGAGGAAGAAGGCAGTTTATTTCTTAACCGAATGAATCTGCAGTCTGCTAACTGCTAATTACATGTCTTAACAACCTCACCATCACATCTCATACGTTTGTTTCTAAACAATCAATCTCATCCTTACGATTATCTACTTGACTAATTAATCAGTCAACTCATTAAAATTATGTCCTTTACAATATATTGGACTATTTGCTAACAAATAATACTAATATGTTATCTTTTGTTTTATAAGAAGTGGAAAAGCTGAAAAAGGCGGGTAAAAATGCAAAAGATTAGAAAGAAAGAAGGAAACAAACAAATTGTTAAAAGGAAAAAAAAAAAAAAAAACCCAAATATAACACAAACTTTGCAAAGCTTTATGGTATATAGTGCAATTGTCAAGATTTTAGAGGCCATTTTGTGAAATTTCCCAAGAATGTGGAGATATAATCCCGCACTTTCCAGAGCTTATCTTAATTTACTTTAATTAACGTAATTTGAAAATACTAATAAATTGAATAATTACGACTTAGTAATAAAGAGTCAGTAGACAGTAATCAAACGTCATCAAGCAATCTCCTCTTCCCTCTCTTTCCGAAGGCAAATTCCAAAGAACAAAAATCATCATCCCCATCTTTTTTTCGAATGTTCTTTCCTTACGCTTCACACTTTCACCTGCCCGTTTCAAATTCCCTGCAAAAATTTGTTGAAAAGATTCACAAAATTCAACTGCTCGAAGATTAAGCTTTGAACTTCGCACACAAAACAGAGGAGTTTTGAGGTGTTAACACAAAGGAAGGAGTAGCGGTGGATACGTTCAGCATGGAGGAGGACTGTTGCTCGACGCAATTGATCGACGGCGACGGACGGTTTAACGTCGCCGGTTTGGATAATTTCATCAAGACGACGAAGTTCGCTCAGTGCGGTTTATCTTACGCCGTCGTTGCGATCATGGGGCCTCAGAGCAGCGGTAAGAATTGCAGGGGATAGTCCTCTTCCTCCTTTTCTGTTTTCTCTGCTCTCAAGTTGTCTTGAAGACATCGTTGAATTTATCAATTTTGGTGTTTTTTGTGTGTGTGTGTGTGTGTGTTTTTGCTGAGATAGGGAAGAGCACTTTGTTAAATCATTTGTTCTATACCAACTTCCGGGAGATGGTCGCCATTGTAGGAAGGTAAAATTCTTTTTCATTTGGTCCAAAATTTTCAGGTTTTGGGTATTTTTGGTTAGAGCAATCACAGAGTCAAATTCTTACAACTAAAATGCGTAGTGTATGATTTAGGACGCCTGTTTTCCTTTATCAAGTTGCAGTTCTTGTTTCGTATCATTTCTTGAGTAAAACTTCTGAATTCGCTTCCCCTGTTGTTCCATTAATATATTAGGGTTTAGCAAAAGGCATAATGTTGGGGCAGAATTTGCAGTTTCTTATCTTATAGTGGTTCAATTGTGTTACTGAAGCGACTATGTATAGTATTATATCTTATCTTATAGTGGATTAATTAGGGTAATAAATTCGTGAAAGGAACAGTTCTTTGAATATATCTCATTTGGATACATGAAACTCATCTACTAATCGTTCTCCTTTTTAAATCTTCCTGAAATACTCTCTTGACTGTATGATGAAATTAATGACTGTTTTAAAACACACCAAATGAGCAAGTTGTGCCATAATACTGTTGTGATCAAGCATTTGATTAATTAAAGGCTGATGTTTAGTCCCATTTTATAGTATAATTGGAAGAATGTATAGGGATACGATGCATAATCTTTTACAGTACAACCTTTTCCCTTCTTATTTTGTTTAATGGCGTTGACGGATGATTGCAGAAGTCAAACCACAAAGGGTATTTGGATGGCGAAGGGAATTGGTCTCGACCCGTTTACAATAGTGATGGATTTAGAAGGCACTGATAGTCGTGAAAGGGGTGAGGTGGTAAGCTTCCTTCCTTTTATTTATTATTCATTTATTTATGGTCTTGCTGTATCTTATTTCTAGGTGTTTGCGTGTGTCTCAGTTTTTCTGCCTGTTGGTGGGTTTGTGTGTGTGTGTGTGGGTGGGGGGTGGTGTACGTAGTATGGCAAGCTGCACTCTATTAATTGAAATGTGGTGTATAATCTTGGTTATGACTTGTGAGCTTAGTTTCTTAGTTGGGCTGAGATATCCTGATTTGAATAAGTGATTCTTGTGTGAAGGCTAATCCCTTTGCATTATTTCCACTCTACTGTTCTATAGCTTCGCACTTGTACTCTTTTTTTTGAACTTCTATCTAGATCATGTGTGATGTTTCGTGATGAATGAATGAGTTGTGAGTCTTAGAAGAATTTAAATTATCCTTTTGGCCTTTTTCAGTTCACTGTCTTCTGCCAAGAACATTTTGTTTTGTGTTATGAATGTATTGGTGATTTTGCTAGAGCTTATTGATTGTTGGAATGTTTACTTTTCTGATTCAGGACGATGCAACATTTGAAAAGCAGAGTGCCTTGTTTGCGTTGGCAATTGCTGATGTTGTTATCATTAACATGTAAGGTTTTGAGATTTCATCTAAGCTGTTTGATGATAATATTTCTATATTTTGATGCTTGATTACAATGAGTACAATCTACATGATGCCAACTATAAGTGATGGAGCTTGAATCTTAGAAAAGCCTTAATTATTTCGACCTATTGAGCAAACTCTGATTGGCAACATTGGTCTTTCATTGCTGCTCTCGCCTAAAGTACTCTTTGTTGTCTTTTGTGGTCTGTGACAAATTACTTCTAAGACTTCTGTGTTTTTCTCCTCTTAGGTGGTGCCATGACATTGGTCGAGAGCATGCCGCCAATAAACCACTTTTGAAAACAGTGTTTCAGGTATTTAAATTGGCTAATGAACCTTTAATGGTTGCTTCATTACAGAATGTGATTGAATCTTTCTCTTTTGACAGGTTATGATGCGGTTGTTTAGTCCACGCAAAACAACTCTTTTATTTGTGATACGTGATAAAACTAAGGTCTAGCTCTACATTGTTTTTCATCCAGCTCCATCCTTTTGGTATCTTTTCTAGGAATGAAAGTCTTTAATTTGATGTCCTTGCAGACTCCTTTTGAACTTTTGGAACCTGTACTGAGGGAAGACATACAAAAGGTGAAATTTGGCATGAAATAAATTTGTTTAAGATTAGAAATGTGAATGTTTTCTAAGAACACCCATGTTTTCACTTGAGTCTCACTCGCATTTTCAAATTGTGCAGATTTGGGATACAGTTCCTAAACCCGTGGAGCACAAGGACACCCCTCTCAGTGATTTTTTCAAAGTAAGATTGCATTTGGAACCTTTTCCCATTACCATAACATAATTTTAAACATTTTTGTATAATGCAAACTTAAAGGTGGAAGCCACTGCCTTGTCCAGCTTTGAAGAGAAAGAAGAACAATTCAAAGATGAGGTAGCTTCTCCTGCTAGAGATTCTATGTGCTCTTTCTGATTGTCTGCATGCCATTTACTTTGTCTTTGTGTTTCATACAGGTTGCTCAACTAAGACGGCGATTTTTCCATTCTATATCTCCAGGGGGAATTGCGGGTGATAGACAAGTTGTAGTTCCTGCCACTGGGTTTTCTTTTAGTGCACAACATATATGGAAAGTTATCAAAGAAAATAGGGACCTTAACCTCCCAGCTCACAAGGTAGCTTATTTCTCTGCATCATAAAGATAAGATGATTTGTAAATTTATGTGATTTGACATCTAATCATTTTGACATCTTAGGTCATGGTTGCAAAAGTACGCTGTGAGGAGATTGCCCATGAGAAGTGTAGTCAATTAGCATCTGATGAGGTGTTTACAATGTTTTGCATTTTAAATTGCACGAAATTTATTTCTTGGGCTATTTTGAAAATCTGTATTGAAATAGGGTTGGTTGGCTTTGGAGCAAGCTTCCCTTGCCGGTTTAGTTCCTGGTTTTGGAAAGAAGGTTAGCTCAATCTTGGAAGCTTGTCTTTCTGAGTAAGTTTGGCCAACCATACCTGCTTAAATCTCTTGTTTTGAAGAATCGTCTAAGTGTAGATCTTCTAACTTCTTTTTTTTAACCGATAAAGGTATGACAAAGAGGCTGCCTTGTTTGATGAAGGTGTCAGAGATGAACTACGTCAACTATTGAAGACAAAAGCTTTGCAGGTGCAGTATTGTCTTTCATAGGCTCTGCAATTATGAGCGTGGACATATTTTCCTGAATGAACTGGTTGTAAACCAATCATTTGTTTTGGCATGTAGAAAGATGTAAAATGGAGAAAAGCAGTTTTATGATCGCAGAGAATGAACCTTTTAACTTAATTTGCTTCCTACTCGAGGCTCGACTTAACCTTCATAAAATCATCATTATTTCTGTTTTTAACTTAAAGTTATTACGCTTTCTTGTCCTCCTTTTGTCCTGAGTTATTTCTTTTCTGAAAATAGTAATGGCTGTTGGGGTACTTATTTCTTTCTAGTTTTTTTTTTGGATTAAATCAGTATACTTAATGTATTATATGTAAGCTCATAGGCTAAGGAAAGCTTGACAATAAGATCTGAAGGGTTACATGTTGTCCAGTATTCTCCTCTTTCTTTGTTTCCTTCTGTCATTTCTTCTATTCATTAACAATTGACTTTGTTCCTCATCATGAAGAATATGCTGAGAGTTGCAATTATGTTAGGAAGCAAAAACTGAATAGTGATGATATACAGACGAGGTTGTATCTTACTAATCTTACTTCCTGCTTTTTATATATTCTGAAATATATATCTCCATTGCCTAATCCAGACTATTCTATAACTCGAAATAAATATAGTTGAAGCATTTGCACGATAAAAGCTAAATTGTAATTGGGATATGTATATTATTATGTTGTAGTGTTTGTTGTCTTTGGTGCTCACTATGCTTGATTGGTTGGTGCTCACATCCACTTATCTTTTTCTTTTCCTGGGTGCACTTCTGGCTTCGACACTTACTCTTCTTTTCTTTTTATTGTTCTTATTTCTGTGGACTTCCCTTTTATTTTGTGGTCTCAATTCTGTTTGGCTCTTTGTTTATTCCATCATGTCTTTATTCATTTATTATCTTTTGCAGTTGGTCCATCCTGCTTATGTTACTCAATTGGGACACTTGCGTCATCATGCCCTTGAATGTTTCAAGACTAAACTTGAACAAGCACTGAATAAAGGTGAAGGGTTTGCAGCATCTGTTGATAACTGTATGCGGTTAAGCATGCTCGAGTTTGACAGGGGACTTTCAGGTTAGATTCAAATATGCAGTCTTAGATTCTATTGCTTGTAGCATACTCATGTGACGGATTTATATTATTGCGAAGCCACTAGTGTCATGAACTCTGGTGCCTGAGTTTTTGGTTGCTTATTGTTGTAATAGATCCCATGTTATTCATTATTTTGCAGCCTAAGATCTTAGTTATCCACTCCTCCTTTTTGGCGCCTAGTGCGGGAATTATAAAATGGATTTCTAGGTCTTCTAAACATCTTCTCTCACTCATCACTGTATCTTTGTGGGGGTGAAACTGCATGCTATCATTTCTTTGATTACAATAATCGCAGTTACTTTTTTCTTTATTTTAGATGCTGCTATAAAACAAGCTGATTGGGACGAATCTAAAATTCGTGTGAAGCTTCAGCATGACATTGAGGATCATGCGTCCTCCATTCGTAGTGAGAAGTTGGCACAACTGATTGCTAAATTTGAGGTACGTAATCCCTGCTTTTGAGTGTGAAAGTTTTGATCATAAGTTACTCTTTTCCCTGTCTGGATAAAACTTTGGTCGCTTTATCTAATCATAGAACTGTAATAACTCATTTATGTGTACTTCTGTAGAAACAACTTACTTCAGCAATTAGTGGACCTGTGGAGTCTCTTTTTGAAGCTGGTCATGAAGACTCATGGTTGCAGATAAGGAAGCTTTTAGAACGTGAAGCTGATGTCTTTTTGTCAGGCCTTTCGGCTGCTGTTGCTGGTTTTGAATTGGACAGCAAAACATTTGATCAAATGATTCTCAATATGAGAAACTACGCCAGAAGTGTGGTAGCTAAGAGAGCTAAAGAGGAAGCTGATCAAGTTCTACTTCGCATGAAGGAGAAGTAGGCATCACAGACTGGTACATGTATGTTTGTCCTATATATTGTCTTAGTTGCTTATGGCATTGACCTTGTAGGTTTATCACTGTCTTCAACCATGATAAGGATGGCATGCCAAGGGTATGGACAGGGAAGGAGGACATCAAATCCATCACATATGAGGCCCGTTTGGCGGTAAATAGTTCAGATATCCTAGTAGGAGAAACAAAAAATACATTACTATAAGTTCATAATATTTTGAACTTTCTAAAGTTCATCTTTGTTATGGCAGTCTATTCGTATCTTGTCAATGTTGGCTGCCATACGATTGGATGATAAACCAGATAATATAGAGAGCTCAATCATATCTTCTCTCATTGATGGAAAAGAAGTCGTTTCCTCTCATGGTCGCAAAGCTGGATTTTCGTGGGATCCCCTTGCTTCAAACTCATGGGAAGGGGTATGCCTTCTATGAACTACCTTTGGTTTTGGTGTGATTGCTTGGCATAGTTTCTTACTGTGCTTATATGACAGGTTTCTCCAGAGAACACATTGATCACCCCAATGAAGTGCAAGTATCTCTGGAAACGTTTTAATTCGGAAACAGAATACATAATTGCTCAAGCTATTTCAGTACAGGTATGACTTCAATTATGTGATCTACTTGGCTATTAGAGGGATTTGGTGACATGTATGGTTTGTGCTGCAATTTAAGATCATGAATAAAGGTCTTATTTTGTCAGTAGCAGCTTAGTGAATGAATTAATTATCACTTGAGTTTTAATTATTCAACATTGTTACCATTGTCATCTCAATGTTGCAATGCAATTCGCGTCAATACCTCTCGTCAATGAAGGAACGTGTCTCTCTTTTCCGACTATTCCCGGGGGTGTTATCTTTGTAGAATTGACAAGATCACAAGATGCAATTTCTTAAACTATTCTGTATAGGCATTGTGGGGCTGTTAACACAACTGTTGAGGTCATTCCTGATATGAAAATGGTTTTCTTAAATTATTCTGTATAGGCATTGTCCGCTGTTAACGTAACTGTTGAGGTCATTCCTGATATGAAAATGGTTTAGATTGTTGAACAATAATGAGTGTGAAAGCAGTCAAGCAACACATTCTTGCTCAACTTTTGAAGCTATTCTACGACATTGGAGAATGACAATTCCTTCATGTATCAGCATAACCAATTCTATTTATCAGAAATTTCATGTACCAAGCATTTATCTTATCTCAGGAGGCAAACAAACGTAACAATAATTGGCTACCTCCTACTTGGGCTATAGTGGCAATGATTGTCCTTGGGTTCAATGAATTTATGCTTCTTTTGAGGTACATATTTATGCTTGTTTTAATACTTACTTCTTTCCATTTGTTGAGATTTCCTTTTCCAGTGATAGTTTCCTTATTGCCATGTATAACATTGTCTTATATCTTTTTACAGGAATCCTCTTTACATTTTTATCTTGTTTGTGTTATTGGTCTTGGGAAGAGCCTTTTGGCTACAAATGGACATTCCAGGGGAGTTTCGAAATGGCAGTGTAAGCACTTTGTTGGTGCATAACCCGTCTGTGGGTGTATATGAGCTTTATCTTCCATTCGACATCTGTACCTCGTATTCCATGAAACTTTCTTTGAACTAACCAATGTCCTTCTGTCTATCTATTGGTGATCAGTGAGATAAGCAATAAGGATCATCTTTGAATTTTCTTGTCAGTATCATCTGGTTATTAATATGTCGGGCTGACCGCTGTTTTATTATTCTTGCAGCTGGCTGGATTTATTTCCCTTGCTTCAAGGTTCCTTCCTGCGGTTATGAATGTTCTAAGTCGACTTGCTGCTGCAGCTCAAGGGCATTCAGCTTATGAGACACCTGCAGTTCTTACTTCTCAGAGTTATAGAAGTCAAACGTCGACACCAACCTTAATGTCAGGTTCAACTCTGGATACGTCTGTTTCATCCACCGTCTCGCATGAGAGTAGTAGTTCTGGATACACAAGCCCTCAGCTCGATCATAGAACGGCGAGAAATGTGGAATATGAAGAAGCCTCACAGTCCGATAGATAGGTCTTAGAATCTGGGAATTTTGTAGATGAACTCTTTTCCGTGTAGTATCTTGTAAATAGAGTATGTTGGTTGTTAAAAGGGCTGAGTTGTTTCGAATACGCGTGGGATTTGTTTCAGATAAAATATGGTAGTTGAGTTTCATCTCGTGTATTCTTACAAGCTTGTCACTTTCTTTGCAAATTCTTAAAAGTTGCTAATCTTGGTGGTATCAAAATTTTTAATGATCTCGAAAGAACGACGAAGTATCTCCCCCAAAAAAAAAAAAAGAAAGAAAAAGAAAAAAGGACGACGCTGACGAAGCCGTGCATGCGTGTTGCCGTGTTGGTAAAATGTCAGATGCAAAAATCTATTGTATTGGTACTTATTTGCAATAGACATGAAATAATCTTGAACTTTGTACGTTATGACTTATGAGGGTTTTGAAATGTGCCAACTGAGAACACCACCCCCCACCCCCCTTTCTTACCCTTTAACTGTTTCTTGGTTTGTTCCTTCTCTAACCTCTATTGTTTTTTTTTTTTTTAAAAGTACCTGTATATTAAGAAAAGATACCTATGCTATTACAACGCATTTTATTGTATGCTAGATTATGCAATTCTACAACATCTTGTCTACTCACTTTACTCAGTGTACATGACTGAAAAAAAGAATTAGTGCTATTCAATAAAGAGACCACCTCTTGGGCCTCCGAAGGTATATCAGGGGATCGCAAATCTCTGGTAAGAGGTTCACAATCCGTATATACCATAAGACTAGTGATACCCAAATTTGCTTCTTCCTTCAAAGCCAAAAGACATGTCATTGCCTCCGACTGAAAAGGAGAAAACACATTTAATACAACATATGACTCGTTGTTGCAATGGTTCATTGCTTGGATTCAGACACATCCGTCTAAACAAGATATAGACTTTTTCCTAATCATTATTTGGAGGATATTGTTGGAACGAAATAATAAAATTTGGAGGAATCAATGTAATGATCCGGCAGTGTCATGGAGCCTCATTCAAATTGAAGTTAGTCTTCATCAACACAATCAATCCAGAATCACAGCTAGAAGATCTTCCAATCACCAACACCTTAATAGGAGTCCAATGGATGCTTTAATCATATTTGATGGTTCATTCAGTCACCAATCAAGGAAAGCAGCTGGAGCATGGAAGATAATTTCACCACATGGGATGGTGATGCAAATCAAAAAAGGTTCTCTTGCTATCATTTCTCAAAAAATTTGGTTTTATTTTTTCCTTTCTTTATTGCCGCTTTAGAGGCCTCTTTCTTAGGCTTCTTCTAAAACACGGCCTGCGAGTTCTCTTTGATTGCGTTAGAATCGGCCGGTGCCCGCAAAACAGTAACCAAAAATGCTCTAGTAAGAAGCATTGCAGTTGCACTTGATGCGAATCTATATATATATATATATATATATTCATAGTACTTACTTAAAACAGTAAACGTTCAGGATATGTGTCATCACCACAATGAAAATTTTCCCTCCAAAAATTTTTTTATTACAAAAAAAAAGTTGCCAAAAGTTGACACGTGGCTTCTCATATGCTCAGCAAACTTTTTCAGTATATGGAGGTTTGTTAAGATTTATTACTTTGTTTCACATCGCCATCGTGAAAAGAAGTGACTCAGTACATAAGTTTCAAAAACAACCCCACTCATTGCCAATTGGTTTTGAGATGGGAGTTCAAAGTAATTATATACTTTGACATGGTATCAGAGCGGTCTGGGCATGCGGTAGAGTTCTGGGCTGGAGGTAGTCTGTGGTGATTTTATATTAACCCAGTTGAGCATTGACTCGTGGGCTTGTTGTATACCGATCCAATGGTATAATTGGTTTTCTCCCACTAGAGTATTGACTCGTGGACTTGTTGTGGACGGATCCAGTAATATAACTTGTTTTCTCCCGCTAGAGCGTTGATTCGTGGGCTATTCTGTTTTTGTTCTAATCCAAGTCCATTGGACAAAAAGTTCAAAGACCCATTGGACTTAAGGGAGGATGTTAAGGTGTATTATCTTGTCTCACATTGCCACCGTGAAGAGAAGTGACTCTGTATATAATTTCCAAAGACTACCCTACTCATTACTAATTGGTTTTGAGATGAGAGCTCAAAGTACTAATATACTTTGACAAGACCACCATTTAATTACATAGAAAAAAATAGCAACACTAGAAAATGCATTGCTTTTTGTAGTTAACAAAATTACTCACCTGCAGTTCATTTGAACATTTTTGTCCATGAAACGTGATTTTTAAAATTTGAAACTTCCAACACCCAAAAAACTCAAATCTACGTATGAGTAATTGAAAATCTTGGCCTAAAACAACTCGGAAAAGTCAATTTTGGCCAAAATTGTCTTGAAAAATAAATATCTTGAAAAAAAAGTGCAAAAATGGGGTAGCTGAGCAAACCGGCTTCAAGGGGGAAGGAGCCACCTAACCGCCAGGCTAATAACTAATCCCCAATTTCCGGTACCAACAATGCATTGTCATCAATGGAACCCCTAAAATCAAGATTCAATCACTCGCATCAAAATCCAATCTTCCTAATCACTTTTAATTTTCAAAAACTACCGGGTGGTATTTTTCGCAGTTTATAAAATTACACTGGTAGTCTATTTGGAGATTTATACCCCGACTCCTTCTTCCTCTTCATTTCCTTCTTCCTTTTCCTTTTTTTTTCTTCTTATTCTTCCTTTGTTTTTTCAACTTTAAAGTCAAATCTAACACAATTCTACGTCTGAGAAAATGACAAAACTAGGCAGACAATCACGGGAAGACTAGCCCTCGTTTCCGGTAAGTTTTTTTTTCTACCAAAAAACCTTTAATTTTCTTTTTTCTGCCACCCGCTGAAACTTGGCCGGGAGTAAACCGACCACGGGGAGGCTCTGGCCACTCCTTAAAGGGTGGCCGGTTTACTCCTGGACCCGAACAAAAGATTTATTTTTTCAAATTTTATTTATTTTTTGTGTTATTATTATTATTTTTTTATATTTATTTAGTTTTAGTTTTTGTGCTATTGTTTGATTTAAATTATTTTAATGGAGTAGTTATATAAAATAATTAATTTACTGCTTTAATAACATGTTTAATTTAATTTAATTTAATAAATAGTGTAGGTTAAAGGGAGAATTTTATTAGGTATAACTAGTTTATATAGTCACTTATTATAATTTAGTTGTTTTATTTAAATAAAAAAATGCAATTGTTATTATATTGAAATGATATGATAACTATACTTTGCGTAGTTTTTCGTAATTTAATTTTTTGAATTTATTTAAATTTAAATGAGAAGTAGTTAATTAGGTATGTTGTATTAAGTTAGTAAATTTGTAGGCTTTAATAATTATTGTTTACTTAAATAAAATTTAATTTAGTATTAATTAACTATTTCTAAGTTATTTTTGTTATGTATATTTTATTTTTTTAAACTTCATATATTTCATTATAGGATTATGGTGGTGACGGTGTTGATTACAGTTATCATTTCAATACTAACATTAAATTCGCAACTATTGATTGCGATGTGGAATGGGCGAAAATGGTTGCGATATCTCTTGGTTTCACAGTGGTTGTTCCTTCGAAAAAAGATGAGACGAAAAAATTATTAAGATGTCCAAAGAGTGTTCGAGGAAGAGAGTCGGACAACCAGGTGCAACATACAAAGACGCAGTGTTGTAGATGCCTGTTCCAGCTTATAGTCCAAATTTGCGATGGCGAATTGGTTTTGGAATTCGTTCCAACTTCGGTCCTAAGGGTATGCATAGCCACCCGTTTGGCAGTTTCGTGGAGGGCTAGATACAGATAAGTGGCCTTAGTGATAAATCGAAGGAGATTGTTGAAAAAAATGTCTACGGTTAATGGAAAACTGTCTACAATTCCGAAGGCGATTGATCTTGAATGCCTGGACTAGTACTTTGTGATCAAACAGATATACAACTACAGGAGTAAGATGCATGTGGAAAAGTGGCAGGGGAGAACGTTGGTGGAGCAGTTTTTTCACATTGCTCAGCAACACCACTATGTGATTCCTACGGATTATGATACGAGTGTGTTGAGTCATATTTTCTTTGCACATCAAGTATGTGTACAAATGATCCGAGCCTACCCGTGGTACATTGGCATGGATACTACTTATAGAACAAACATGTAAAATATGTCGCTGTTACAAATTATTGGGATGAATCCAACCAACACAAGAACTTTTTGATCGGATGTGTAATTATGAAGGATGAAAAGAAGGAGAGTTATGATTGGGCACTGTAGCAGCTGAGGAATTTGGTTGGATGGGATGTGCACCCAAAGGCCATAGTGACAGACAGGAAGTTAGGACTGATAGATCCAATCAGTTCGTGGTTTCCAGATTCTGCACATCTTCTGTGCATGTGGTACATCGACCGAGGTGTTTTTGAAAAAGTACGGCGGCATTGTAGAAATGAATCTGCGAACTGGTGGAAAAAGAGTTGTTCGCCCCTATACGTGAAGCTCCTACTGAGTATTATTATGTAATGGCTGTGAGGAGGATGGAGTGGTACAAGCATCCAAAGGCTGAAAGTTATAAAGCATTGGTGGGCTATCTCAAGGTCACTTGGTTAGTTCACAAGGAGAAGTGGGCTCATGCATGGACACATAGGGTGACACACCTTGGAAACACAAGTAATTGTAGGGTGGAGAGCGCCCATTGTGCCTTGAAGAAGTTTCTTGACTCGGCGACCAGCCAACTTGATACTATGTGGACCAGAATCCACGCAGCTATCGAGTTATAGTTAACTGAGATCAGGTACATGATTTTAACGAGGTTTATATTTTGTTTTAATATGTAATTACCAATACTCTTATATTAACATTAAGGAATTCAAAATGCAGAAACCGTCTAACCGAATCGGTGCGCCGTTCGAGCAGAGATCACTTTCAGTTTCCCTATGACTGTCTAGCTAAACGTGACTCACATTATTGCTTGGAAATTCTTCAAAGGGAGTTTACTCGCATGCATCAA